CATACTTGAATAACATTTAGTTTGAAAAAGGCAGCCACTATTTCACTCAATGACAAAATATATTTGCTGACAAGGTCATTGTATCGACCATATAACTTACAAAACTGTGACTTTAAACAAATCTGTGACTTTAAACGAGACTGCTGATATTCTTGATTCATCAACTTGTCTGTGATAAATTACATCCTTTCAAATTGTACATACGTAGAGCATGTCCTTGCGTATAGAGCAGGGTTGTCCATACTTGAAAAGGAGATGGGTGAATGTGATGAGGGAAAAGCCCATAGTGTAACAAACATGAAGGTGAAAAATTAAATATCAATTTTATCAAAAATTTTCCTTAATATTTCATCTTATATTAAAGTATATTTTATGTAAAATCTCTACAACTTGCACAAATCTCCTGAAAATTGAACTTATTTGCCAATGAAATATGATACACACACAAAAGAGGACAAAACGAGTCATTTTTTCACACTATAAGACTATTTTTCGTTATGAGTGGGTCTTCTCTCCATTTTTTTGAAAGGTAATCCTCAAGGTTTGCCTAAAAACATACATATTTTGGTTTCAAAAATTATGGAGCAATGACCCACTTTATCTAAATAATATAAGTTTATGACATAACTTTCGTATCTTTTCGAGAAATACTTGAAGTCCCTTAAGTCAATGGTCATATCACAAACATGACTTAAATACCACGCTTCATCAGGACTTGTGTAGTGTAGTGGTTAGCGTGGTAGTCTCAATAGAGTATGCAAGTCAGGATTTTTATTGCCAAGGTTCGATCCCAATGGATACCACATTATTTTTCTTGATAAAAGAAGAAATTTTAAAGAAAGATTTTCCCCAGAACTTTTTGTTTATCGTGATTTAACAAAAATCAATGATGAAAACTTTACTCTAAATACTAAAGTAACAATTTGAATATGATTTTTATACATCTGAAGATTGTGGTTTTTTTGCACGCTAAGTTCACCCATCTCCTTTAACCATGGAGGAAGCAAGTATCAAAAGTTCTAAAATTTATTGGAAATTATTAAAAGATGTTTTTAAAACTAAGGTTAGGTCCGAAATTCCATCGCTGCAGGATATTACAGAAAATGGAAATATGCATATTAATTACAGCGATATTGACAAGGTTGAAGCGTTAAATAGATATTTTGCTTCGGTTTCGGCTTTGTATGACGTCGAACCTGCATTACAAGCTTTTTCTTTATTATGTAATAGTGTTTTTAATAGTATTGAAATAGTTAAACAGGATATTATTGATATAATTTCTATTCTCCCAGTGAACAAGGCAATAGGACCTGACAAAATTAGTCATAATATGTTAAAAGCTACCATTTTCAGCGTCTCTTATCCTTTATGTATTTTGTTTAACAGATCTTTAAGAGAATGTGTATTTCCTACACAGTGGAAGGTAGCTAATGTACTTCCTTTATTTAAAAAAGGTGACCCATTATTATTATCAAATTATAGACCAGTCTCATTATTAAGCTGCGTTTGAAAAATTATGGGGCGAGTTATTTTTAAATATGTTTACAATTATTTTCATTCAAACAATCGTTTTTACAAATATCAAGCTGGCTTCTTACCAGGTCATTCAACAGTTTATCAACTTATTGAGACATTCGATTACATAGCTAAAGCTATGGATGAAGGAAAACACTGTTGTATGGTTTTTTGCGACTTGTCTAAGGCATTTGATCGGGTTTGGCACAAAGGCCTTCTCTTTAAGTTACTTATGGCGTTAGTGATAAGTTATTATTATGGTTTTAAAGTTATTTAGATTTAAGGACACAAAGGGTATTGCATAGAAATACTGTGTCTAGTTTTAGATCTTTACATGCTGGAGTTCCCCAGGGGTCTGTATTGGGACATCTTTTATTCTTGATATATGTTAATAATGTCGCTGAAAATATGTCTACCTTAAGAAGATTGTATGCTGATAATAATTCTTTACAGAAATGTTCAGAAAATGTACATGATATTCAATTAGGATTGAATAATGATTTAAATCAATTTGAGCGGTGGTCTAAACAATGGCTATTGAAATTTAATCCTACTAAAACCAAAGCTGTATTTTTTAGTACTAAGAAAAACGTAGATTTACCATTGTTAAAATTTCAAGATTGTAATTTAGATTTAGTATCATCACATAATCACTTAGGTATTCTATTTTCAAACGACCTCACTTGGTCAGGGTACATTGATTCTATCGTAACTTATGCATATAAAAAATTAGGTCTACTTAAAAAATTGCAGTTTAAGGTCAGTGCAAAAACTTTATCTCTTTTATATACTACTTTTATAAGACCTAAGTTAGAATATGCAACCAAAGTTTGGTGTGGGTGTTCTAGTCAAGATGCTGAAAAACTAGAAAAATTGCAACTTGTAGCAGCAAGAATAGTCACTGGATTAACCTCATTGGCATCGCGAGATTCTCTTTATTTTGAAACTGGTTGGGAACCACTTGCTGTTAGACGAATGCCCAAAGTTGGAACAACTATGTACAAAATATTTCATAATATGGTACCCGGTTATTTGAAAGAAATATTTCCAAACATTCGATCACAAGAATCAAATTACGTAACAAGACAATCACAAAATTACTGTATCCCTAGGTGTAGATTAAATATTTATAAATCATCGTTTGTACCAATGGCAATAAGGGAATGGAATTCTTTATCTCTTGAAACAAAACAATTTACTACAATTGGTTCCTTCAAAAAATGTATAAACTCTCAGAAAACAACCACCCCGTCATTTTTTACTTTTGGTGATCGTTACTGGAGTGTAATTCATACTAGATTAAGACACAATTGTGTCCTAAATAAAGACTTATTTAGGTGAAATATTATCGACAGTCAACTGTGTACTTGCAGTAAAATAGAAGATGCATATCATTTATTTTTTTCTTGTGTGAACTACACTGCCCCAAGAAACGATTTGTTCAATGCTATTTTTAGAATGATAAATTTACGTTCTGTAGACACTCATGTTCTATTATGGGGAGATAATTCGATCAGTATTTCTGAAAATGAAAGTTTATTTTTAGATGTGCAATTGTATATTTAGAGTTCTGGTCGTTTTTGAGTAATGCTTTTAGATTAGTATGTCCATACTACATTTATTCAATTCTGTATATGCATTGTCTATGTTAGATAATCTTATTGACCTTTGGTTCCTGTTTAAATTAATTTGAACAATGTATTTTGTGTTACAAATTGTTTTAAAGGAGAGGACGTTCTAAGTTTTTAAGAACTTGTGTCCAATCCTTTTGTTTTAACATCAAAACAATGAAATATGTTCAAACCAAACCGGAGGAAGCTGCACGAAATCAGACCGAAAGCACGAATATATTAGACTTCCTAACCTGCATTAATCAATGACTGGCCCCACCGTTTTCACAAAATCTAAATTTACCCATATTTTTAAAGCTAAAAATGCATGTATAAATAAGAATATTTACATTTGCAAAAATCTTTCTTAGATAAACCCACTGAAGAGAAAATATGTTCAATTCTGTGTGAACTTTATATGGGGGTCAAAGGTCATAATGCGACTAAATCACAGAGAGAGTGGTGTTAATCAAACATGGATACTTAAAATGCCACAGAACTTTTAAACAATTTGAAATCACAAAATATTGCTTTATATGAAAACAAAAATAGATCTGCTAATTAAAAAAGAACATCTCGAGTATATCCTTGCTCATTACCCTTAAAGTATCTCTTTCACTAACAACTTAGAAAGAAGTTAAGAAGGGGGCTTGGCTGAACATTTACTGGAATCTGCTAAGTGTTTTCATTGTTAAGGATTCCTATGAAGTTTTGGAATCCAATATGGATGTGGTAGTTCAGAATCATTTAGATGTTTGGGGTATTAAAAATATTCAGAATTGACAGATGCTTTTAACCCCTTCCATGGCAAAGATTTTTAGCATTTTTAGAGAAATTGATATCAAGATTTTAATGCATTTTTTCGGGTATTTCGTGTAATTTTTGTAAATACCAATGTATATATATTCTGAAAGTAGGTATTGTGAGGTTTCTGAAAATGATAATAAAAACATTCTTTCTGTTGCCATGGCAACGAAATATGCCAAAATTACTGAGAAATCTCTATTTAACCTTCAATTAGTTATATATTAACTTTTTTAGTTCAGTAAAGTATTTAAAGTAAGTAAATTTTGATGCTGAGACATAGCAGCATATTGTTTACCATAAGTTTTAGTCAAATTTTAAGCACTTTTGGGAGTAAATACAGGATTTCAACATTTTATGCTCCAGTAGGGAAAAAGAAGAATAACGTTGCTTAACAGCTATCTCTCGCAATCATAGACCAAGTATTACTCATTCCATGTCTGAAAATCCTTTGCTTGACAGACAAGAAACTTAGTACATGTACACTCATGACTGGTACCCCTTAGTAAGTACATGATGACCCCTTTTGAGATGGAGGTCAAAAGGTCAAAGGTCAAAATATATAAAGATATTAACCATTTAAGATTTTGAAAACCCTTCGCTCAACATAGTATATACGGTGCAGATCTAAGAAATTTGATTTTAATTAGATTGTTGCTTTTCAGACAACAACTTTTGTTCACTGTTATCCTCTGAGAAGTAAATTTCTTCTGGTGATTTGGGGGTTTGATAGAATGTTTGCCCCTGACAAGTAAACAGCTATTTTCATCACAATAACAAATTCTAAAGCTTTTTTCCAATATTGTCGTGGAGGTATAATTTATACATGTATTTGTTTCTCGAACAATTCTTGTTTTTTTATCACACTTTTTTACCCTGGTAGGAATGATCATAATTGTTTACAAGTGGTAAATACTTTCAAGTAAATATGAAGGTTAAAATTACACAAGCAGAAACTTAGATGTTATCTATGGCTCTGGACAAAAAAAGAACAGAAAAAAATCAAAGACTTTGAACTTTTATAATTCATAGACTTTTCAAAATTTGAATTAAGTTGAACTTTGATCTATGACATAGCACAATGTTGCATAATTGAAAACAAAATTACATCTTTGAGTAGACAACATCATTCTTAACTTACAAACTTAAGGAGATTTACAAAATAAAATCTTAGCTTCCAAAATAACATTTAGAAGATTTTATATGCCTCTATACATGGTATTCAAATTTTGAAATATATTGCGTAAAATTAAGGAATATTAACCTTGATCTTTCAGTCATTGTAATGTACAGTAATCCTATGTTTTATGTATTCCTGCAAGTGACATCTCATTCAAATTTTCCAAGCATGATTATGTGACTTATGTAACAAACTGATCTTAGAGATTAACATCAGAATGAAATTCCCTGAAACATCGTTCACTACACAAGTGTTTGTTACACCCTTTACAACCATAAACTGTCTCCTTTCTTTTCTTTTCTCCGTGTTTGGTACACCATTTGCATGTTGACTTTAGGCGATCCAGATGGCAGAAAACATGAGGGGGGTCAAGAATACCCTGTAAGTGATGACCCCGCTTTCTTCCTCGGAAGCCTCCAATAAGTTGCTGAGCCACCTCCATCCTAAAATCCAGCAGGTCAAACCTTGTGTTGGCAGGAAGATCCTTACCAGGTGTTCTGGAAAAAATCTCAAATGCATTTATAAGGCAAACTTCCATAATAAAGTTGAAGAAAAACTTCCAGTATTTTTTGGATGGTCTGCCAACAGGATTCTTTGCGCGGTGTTGCATGCATCTGTTGACTCCACTCATATACCGTTGATAGGAAGATACTGGTGGAGGACACATAACCTCAACAAAATTTCCACCCCGAGTTCGACGGACAACTGGACCATCTCCAAACGGACTGCAATTAGTGCTCAAAATATGTACCTAAAATAAAATTACATAGAGATATAGGCCTAGCTGGAAATTAAACTTACACTACATATAGATTTATTATACCTCTGTTTATTTTTTCTATATAAAAATAAGACGAATAAACATGCTATTTTTTCTAAACAGTCTCTACCGTGAAATAGTTTTTGTGCTATTTGCCCATGGTGAATAGTCCTCAAACTATTCAACGGCAGCATTCGATTTCCCTCGCTTTTCATCTCTGAAAAACTTCTGATTTTTACATGGATTGTAACGCGTATATATTATGACGTAACAAAAGTTAAGTCAGCACCGGTATAATATGGAATATCATAATTGTGTGTACCCTGGACTTCCAAAAGTTAACAAAAGTTAAGTCAGCATCGGTATAATAAAACACCTATTTACCGACTATTCGGACAATAGCAAGTTTATCGTCCCCCTCGACAGCAAACTATTTCCCTCGGCTGCGCCTCGGGAAATAGTTTGCTGTCTTGGGGAACGATAAACTTGCTATTGTCCTCATAGACAGTAAATAGGTGTATAATATTTACTTCTTTGGGATTTTAAGATAGGCACTGAAACTATATTTGCACTATGAGATTTTTAACAAAGATATACACAAAAATTGCACAGGATTCCTCAGGAATATCATTAATCAGATAGACCTTTATGTCCTCCTTAACTCTTTAGTTGAAAGTTTAATGATTGCAGGTAGAAGTGTAATTGTGATAAATGTTGCTATTTTTATTAAATTTTGAAAATAGTACATGTCTGTATGAAGGCAATGAATATGTAATACCGTTTTCTTATCTTTCCAAGCAGTGGCAAGCAATTGGTCGTGCTGCATCTGTAATGTCTCCCCTCTCCTTAAATCCGGATTTCTTAACTCTGGTGGAAACCCTTCTGAGTCGCTCTTTATTGTCCCACAACTAAAAATCCCATTCTGAAGCAAGGTTCGCACCAAGGAAATGGATGTAAAGAACCTGATATTATATAAAGTATAAAAATATTAGACATTGAAAAATATGAAATTATTTTGATAATGAATCTTTTATCATTCAGTCTTGTTGAACAATGTTGAAGTCATTTTAAGTTGTTTCAAACACAAACCTGTCAAAGAACACATGATGGCCTTTGTATTTCAATGGTCTACACAAGTGTTTGACGACTCTTTCTCCTAGTGACTTTCCATGAAAAAAGTCATGTTTTCCCATATATGGCCAATAATCGTAGCAGTAACCATCCTCATCACATCTCATGAATATCTGAAAAAAATATTTTGTTGCATTTTTTTTTTATAACTATTCACCTAGCATTTCAGAGAAATATACATTAGCCGGTGGACCAGTTACTGGGGGGATGATTCCCGTATATACTCGCCTATAAGTAAGATTTTTGGGAGTAAATCTCTGGTCCAAAACTCTATGTCCGACTTGTAGGCTAGCTATATAATGAATGGTATTATATGAGGTCAGTCCCTCTGATATATAAGCTTATTAAATACAACCAACTTATAGGCGGACCGACTTATTGGCGAGTATATACGGTACCTGTCCTTCTCTTCCATTTCCTGATCCACCTCATCATCATATAAAAAATTTTTTAATGCTTCCTTAGTGTTTTTTTTTAATATGTAATGAATAATTCTTAAAAAATTACATTATTTTGTGTATCACAATATCAATTTATTGAATGCAAATAGGCATTTCATTGATACAAACCTTAAAACCTCTGTTCACCGGTTTATTTGGCATATATTGTCTTGCAAAAAATCTCCCTTTGTACTTAACCATGCCCTCATCAATAGCCTACTGCTTAGGTGGATTCATCCGACTCCGGAATGTCCTTCTTGTCTCATCAAGTACAGGTCTTATTTTGTGTAATCTGTTGAAGAGAAATGTGAAATATTTAAGAAATAAGATATCATTTTTAGAGTTTCATTGGGATGTGACATGAATTCGATCACGTGATCAAATTCTATAACACATGAACTGCGTTATAGTAGATCTGATCACGTACTGACTTCATGTCACATCCCAATGAAACTCTAAAAAATGATATTTTATTTCTTATATTTATATTTTACTTTTATTCGTGTTACAAGGAAAAATAGGCGCTATTTGGACATTGTTATAGAAATGCAACATAACATAACTACAGCGTCATATGACATCACAGTCAAGACTTTCTAAGAGTCTCGTGCGGTTTGCCCAACTGCATGTCATTGGAAATTGAATGTCAAAATTATTTATATTGTCATATAAGGAAAGACATAAGCAAATGTAAATATAAATCTATAAAGCAAAATGAAGACACTAAACTATAGTGATGTGAATCAGTGTCAATTTCATAACTGATTATTAGTTTTCTGTAACGAATATTTAATAGTTATAATTAATTTAAGATCACTGTTGAATAATTTCTAGAATATTTATATTGATTAACTATTAAAATAGAGAATTATAAATCGCATACCTGTCAAATTCAGGTGTTCCTCTGGCTCCCTGAGTAGTATTATCACTTAGATGGAAATACCGAGTGAGCTTTTCAAATCTTTTCAAACTCAGCGTTTCATGAAAACCAATGTTACCTGCATATGATTGTAAATTTCACTTATCAATGTCAATTTTAAAAATTAGATTCAACAATAAATGGATTTTATCTCTAGAAAATGAGAAAAGAAATATAGAAACAATTTTAAATGACTTACACTGCCAATTCCAGAAGAGCACTAAGCAGGTGTAAAGTATTTTCATTTTATATTCAACATATTCCTCAATATTTAGAAAAGTTTATGATCCGAGTTGTTTCATGGTAAAGGTTTGAAGACATTGGTCAGCTCAACATCTACATAAATATTGTTTGAATAGAAATACAAACCCTAAAATAAATGAAACAAATTGAATGGGTGTGCAATTTATAGACAAAAACAAAAATGTACAATACATTATGTTTATATCTTTGTTACACACACAAAACAAAGACAAAAAAAAGTAAACGTTGTAGTCATGAAGGTTTCCAGAAAATGCGAGACACAAATTATGAACTTAACATAAGTTCATTACATGTAATAATATTCATTATTTTAATTTTTTATCAAGGAAAAATGGATCAGTGTCCGTTGTAAATATCATAAAATTTAATGTACTTTTCAAAATCTGGAAAGGAAAATGACTGACAATATTTTATTTGAAATTGTAACAAGAACATTATTGTAAACAGAAAGTAATGTAAAGAAACAAAACAATATAGGTGCAAATTTGATAACTTACCGATAAACTTATCAGATGACCAATACATAGTGTATCTGGGAAGCTGAATAATCCCCATCAGAATTTGTAATCCGAGGAATGCCTTCATCTCGTCGATGGTGGTATCGGTCCAACCCTGGGCTCCACTCTGAGCAGCATACGAATTGGTGTTGTCCACAAGTACCTGTACCAGACTAAAGGGAAACAAGAGCAGGAAATATAACAGAGGATTTGCATCCGAAGAGAGCTGATGAGTGGGACCTGAAGTATCGACGAAGTCTGGAACATCAAAGTCTTCCACAACATCAGTCCAGAAGTCAGAATCTCTAATGTCGCTTGCCTGGCTGTCAAGGTCAAATAATGTGGAATCTGTGTCCTGGTTGTCATCGCTGTCTGTCTCACTTCCAAAGGAATGGTCGCTGTCTGAATCATCCTGATCAAAATCTGATCCAGACTCGGATGAATCGTCGCCAAATTCTTCGTCTGTATCTATATCTGACGATTCTGGGGATGAAGAAATGTCGCAAGAAGCCATATTGTTTACACGTGTTACGAATGTTGCCAAATATACGCAGAACGATCCCGACATATTTTCATAATATTTTCGCATGTTTTCTTTTTTATCAAACAAAAAAAAACCATCTACTTTATTGTAAATGTGGATATGTGGTTATGTATTTTAAACAATTTTTTACTCGTTTTTTTCTCTTCCAGGGAAATTCAAACATTTTTATATCCATATATCGTAATACGAACGTAACTCTCAAAAATATTTTTTGAATTGGTCAACTAAAAACATTTTATATCATTATCAAACACGCTTATCTATATTTTAACTAGATAATTAGTTTTTAACACATCTAATTGAATAAACTATTTGGTTTTGATAGTTTCTGAAGTTGTTTAAACGTGTTTTGCTACGAAAATTGAGAAGTGTTTGTACCGCGTGGATTTCGATCGCGGCAAATATCGCTTGAATAATACACGTTGTTTAGCTCAAAATACCAAAAAACTGGTCAATCAAATTTTTAAAAAATTAGAACAAACTTTCTTTGCAATTGTTCCCTCTTTCTAATGATACAAAAAATATTTCAATATTCGCAGTATTAAAGAAGTTATGAATATTTGTTTACACTCTACACGTTTTTCACGCCAGAGGCGTAGAAAAGCGTATATGCCATGGAAGGGGTTAAAGAATTTCTACCTTAGAAAGTGAACTATGAATATAAGTTGGATTACCATATTTAGAATTAAATCCTAATTATGATCTGAAATACAATTTATATAATTAGCCTTACAATCGAAGACAACGTTGTTAACTGCTTTGTCAGCAGGGATCAGTAGGTACTATTTATGTAATCAATCTATCCTTTTACTTCTAGATTATTGAATACAGAAGTATAGATGGCTTTCATATTGCCCCTCAAACTTTTACATACATGTACATGTAATACGTGATTGTACGCAACTTACATTTAATCCATTCTGACAAGGTTTCAAAGTCTTCTTTAATTATATTGTGCCCATCGTAAGGCGTATTCTTTTATAGGAACATATTTATGAAATTCCGCGGCCAGTATTGAGAGATGGGGTTCCCTTTATTTAGGACCTTTTAAAATTATGAATCCAAGGTCCTCATAATTAACAATATTTATGTCACCTGTACTAACGTTCCAGCAGTACTATAGTTATAGGGCGAAGAAGAACACACGATGGAGGATTTTGTTTTAGATACTCGATATCCAGGATATAAAGTTTTCTTGTAATTATTATGTTTGGAAGCAATAGTCAATGTATATTTGTAGAAAATACAACGTATAGTCTTATAATCTGTCCCATAAAATTAGATAAAAGGTGTGGTCTTTAACTTAAAATATGGTGGAATAAAAGACTGTGCCCCGTGATTAAGAACGTTACTTATATTAGGCGTGTAAATTCCTTTTTCTGGCATATTAAAATTGAAAATAAATTAAGAAATGTTTTAGAATATTGAAATAATAAAAGGCCATAGACAAAGCTTTTTAAAGTGTTTTTCTCATTAATCATATATCTAGTCTGCGCGGCAACCTAATACAGGGGTAATAATTGTAATAAAATAAAGGAAGATAGCGAACAGTATTTAAGCTCAAAAGCACATCAAACAATAAACAGAAGCAGAGCTAACTCGAACGTCAAAAACATCTGGGTGGGGTCAAATGCCATGGAGGAGTAAGCATCCCCTGGTGACCGTTCAGTTTCTCCACTTGCTCCTTGCCAATATTCAAAATTAACGGAAAAGTCCGTCGTCATTTCAGCTTGTAAATTAAGTTGTTAGTGTATACTTAAGTGTAATGACGAACACGTTTTTATCCAGATATTTTAAACCAGAAAATAAATCTTCATAAATTTTTTTTGTACCCCAATCGGACTGCATGTCACTGTTGACCGTGTGCCCACAGGCAACAAGGCACATTTTGCAGGTTTTCTGAAGTAATCGATTTTAAAATTGCACATGCATATTTTCTCCTTATGGAATTTCTACCTTATAAAGTTATTTTACAACAAATCAATAGCGCTTTTTTTTATTATTATTATCTTTTAAGAGAAAAAAATAACCTGCTGGTGTACTGAAGGAGTTGAAATCCGCGCCCAAGATTTGCCTTCTTTGTTCATGTACGAACAGTTTCGAAACAAGGCAAGCTTTTAAAATATATATATTGTTTAACAATAAGATCGATACCTCACTTTAAGTCAACATTTTGTATTCTCTATACGAAATAAAATAGAATATCAGTATACCTATCGGAGCAGAGGAATAGAAAAAAGAAACAACACCGCAAACTTGTTTCTATGCGAATTTAAACATTTTCCTACAAGCCCAAAAAATTGAGCCTCACTATTTCGAAGAATCAGATAATTTTTTTCTAACTTGCATATAAAAAAACTGAATTTTAATTTCATTCAGAGAAAGATAATGAAGGAAAATATTTATAAAATTTAAAATTTTAAAGACATCTTACTAAAAAAAAACACTCTTAAACAGCATGACATAAGAGGAGTGAAATTGAATTGCAATTCCAAAGTAAGCATACATGACAACTCATATTAAATTCAATAAAATCGATAGTTAACAGTAAAATACAGAGTACGTAACAGCCAATCATATTTCGGGCATTGATTAAGGTTCTGATATTTATATTTGGTAGTTATAGGACCATTTGGCAAAATTTTACAGATTCACAAGAACATAGCAATTTTTTTTCTTAAGAAAAAAAAAAGAAAAACAAAAAATGATAAACCTTTGTGTTATCGCTTTAATTGTCGCCTGCATGGCTTTGTCCGAAGCTACCGTTTTTTCTCAGAAATATACTACGAATCCTGATATGATTGATAAGATATCAAACCAGGAGATTTTAGGAGAACAGGATTCTATTTCTTTGACCGAGTGCGCCGCAATGTGTCGAGGAAAGTGCATCGTCTTTGGATTCAACTCGCAAACAAAGAAATGTCGTACACACAAAAGGGTTTGCTCTTCTAGGATGACTAAGGAGGACGGCTGGAGATACTACTCTCATCAAAGTCATTCACTTCCCGGCTGTATGTATAACTTTTATTATTTCAATGTTATATGTATAATTGTTATTTGATTCCAGGTTGTATGTATAACTGTTATTATTTCAATGTCGTATGTATAATTGTTATTTGATTATCACTTTTATGTATAATTATTTTTCTTCCCCGCTTTATGTATGACTATTGTCTATTTTCCCGACGTATGTATAATGGTTATTTTTTCTGTCTGTTTGCTTTTTCGGTTGTTTGTTATTTAAGGTCTCTCTTGACACATTTAGAACACCTCAACTTGCCGATTTGAGGCTGCAAATGCCTATACTCGATACTTGAATGGTCATTGAGCACTGATGGATCTTTTCCGTGCAAACACTTCCTACATGTACCACATGAAACATCGGTTTATACGGTCTCATTTTTATCTCTATATCCTTTATGTACTTAGAAATGAATTTCTCTTTAATATAACTACCAGTAAGAGATACAAATAATGTTTGAATTACTGACAAAGTATTAGGAAGATTATTTTCACTAAGTTGCTTTAATTATACACGTTATATGTCTAACAAATCATAGATATGAAACAATCAGCTAATGAGATAGAGCTTATCATAATCTACATTGGAACAACATCAAGGCACACAATTTATCTTCAACAATTAACCTTAATGAATCTAACACGTATCCTATTTATACCTGTATTTATGCAGAATACTAATGAAGTTTTTTTTCCAGCTCTTCCCTTAGATTGTAAGGAGCTTTATGAAGATGGCAGGACTACTTCTGGTGTGTATGATATATATCCCTATGGAACCATTACAAGTCCCGTCTGTGTGTACTGTGATATGACGACCATGGACGAGGGATGGACGGTGTGTAGTTCATATCAGATTTAGTAGCACTTATCATTACTTACATTCCGTTTTCTTGTCGTTTAAAAGAGTTGTAGAATTTAATAATAAATATGAATATTTTAGTCTATATCATAACATATTGTTCCTACAATTGTACGAAGCAGTGATTTATAATGATACAATTGTTAAATTTTAAAGACAATTCAAAGACGAATAAACGGATCCCTGAGTTTTGACAGGGATTGGTCAGCATATAAAAATGGCTTCGGTTCACCAGAACAAGATGTCTGGGTTGGTAAGTGTATATACTTTCAAATAGGGACTTTCATTCACTTCAAAAAGACAGAATTTTTTCATTGTTGCAGATAAATAAATGGAAGCGTATCAATGATATTATTTTTAAACTTGGTACAATTGTTTGTAATATGTTTTTGACAATTCCCAAAAATGGTGTCTGTTATTACCCAATCATGACAAGGAGTACACGGTGGGTGTGACTGGTCAGCAGGGGATGCTCACTGGCATCTGGTCCCGCCTCTGATGCTTTAGAGGTCCGTGTTTGCTCTGTTCCTATTTGTATTGTTTATGAACTTTGATATCGCATTCTGTTCGATATCTCCATATCCTTCATTGAAATCTTAAATCAAAAAGACAGTAAAAGGATTAGGTCCCTCAGCCTGAGGGTTTTTGAAAGACATCAAATTCTACATCAATATTTACTACTCAAAATAATTTGATTTTTCATAAATGAATATTTATATTTTGAATATTTTTTTTTACTTTGCAATGGACTTTAAACTTGATTTAAAATATATCTCAATACAGGAAATGACTTAATACATCTGTTAACAAAAGAAAACTCGGCCCTGTATGTATCCATCACTCTCCAGAATGGTACAACGCTGTATGAAATGTACGACAGATTCTCTGTGTCCGACGAAGCAGGAAAATATCAACTCTCTCTTGCAGGACCTGCCACGGGAACTCTAGGTAAGTGTATTCAACTGAAATTCTAAAAAAAAATCATGTATCTTTTAATTGAAAGATTAATTTGTTGTATATAAAGTTAAAATATAACTGTTTTTCTCTAATATTCTGTTAACGTTCCATGTTAATACAACGTTTAAATATATCACGATATCATTTGTATGTACAATTCACAACTTTTATTAAATATATTACGTCGTTAGTATAAACACTAAGTTTTAGAAAACGTTGTACCGAGCTATAGAGAGCTAATTCCTTCTGGTGAAAAGATAACCTTCTATTTTTAATGTCAACAGTAAGTGTATGTTGCATCACCGTTCAGTAAATTGTAAAGAGTTAAATGAAAATAAAACCTCGTCCCGTCATAACTCGTAATGATTCTTGCGTATTACATTTTATATATTTCAAAGGCACAGTTTCTACCAGATCCTTTTTTCATGTATTCATTTCACAGTGACCTTAATAAAAATAAAAATATGTTTTTTCTTTTTTAGTCAAACTTTAAAGTGTAACAAACAAAGTTTATTGATACATTAGAAAAGAATCTAAATGAATTACATAATGTATTGTTGTATTGTATTCTTAAGTAGATATTACCGCCCTTTCCAGCACCTTAAGCCGTCTATCTTAGAAGTACCTCGGTATTATGAATGTCAGTTAGATTGAAGATATATAAATCAATTATCTCTGTAATTGATTTTGTTTAATTTTACAGGAGACTCTATGTTAAACACTATTCATCCTAACTACGGTCTGTCTGGGATGTCCTTCAGTACCCCAGACAGAGATAATGACAGATTGACTGGAGATGACTGTTGTATCTTTTTATAATATTGTATTTTAGGTGACCACATGAGAAGCTACGATCTGTCTGGGATGTCCTTCAGTACCCCGGACAGGGATAACGACAGAAATAGTGCTGGTAACTGTGCTGCTGACAGTATCCGTAGAGGAGGCTGGTGGTTCAACGCCTGTCACCGAGCCTTCCTTAACGGTCAATGGTCCCCGGGGTCCTGGTCCTGGCCATGGTATCCCACAGTAAAGAATGGGACGTCAGTGAGGGGGACCACCATGATGGTCAGACGTCACTAGGTAAACATCATTACATCTTAATTCTTAAATCTGAAGTCTTTTTTGTATTTCCGTAAAAAAAATCCAATCTTAATAAGCAGTTTTTTTTTCTGTTTGTATTACTGTGAAAATATCATATGGTTATAAGAGGTTTTTTTCAAAGTTAAATATGTTCTTTTTTCTGTAAAACATTAATTCAATTCTTTTTTATAACAGACGAAAGATCATCCATCAATGAGACGAATCCATTTTGATTCAAGAGACGGTTTATTTTTAACTTTTATCACGGGGTTCTTTTTTTTGTAAGATTGTTTGACATCAACCCTTAACAAATATATTTTCAGGGGATGAAGGATTATGTAAAGCAATAAATTATTGTGATTTTGTTCTACTAAATATATTCTGTAAAAGATGTACTTTATATGTATTGTAATAAATTTGAAAGAAATATTTCGTTGTTATTCACACTTATAAATGAAGATGTGTGGGCGGAGAATAAAGATGTAGATTACTTTATTGTCAAACCTATGACAGTGGAACCTGTTTAATCCGACACATTTGCAATACATTTTACTGTGGTGTCCGCCATTCAATAAATGCCATGCAAGAGCAATGAAATAAGCGAAAATCAAAATTTGAAATCATTTAAATTTATTGTTATTTAGGTAAGAGATAATTCAAGTAAGTTAAAAAAAAAGAAATTAAATTTGCAAAACAAGACAAGGAGTACAAAAAAGAGCAGTGATTCATTATTTTTAAAAAAAGATGTTATCTTATATCTGCAATTGTCTTTGCAAATAAAACATAGCGAGCTAACAATAATCAGTTTGTAATTACCTTTGCAATTATGAGACTACATCTTTTAAAAAAATGACCCAATGCTTAAATAATGACACAACTAAAAATCGATATGTGTATTAAGACAATTCATTCTATTTTATGCGAAGCGTAGACTATGGTTTATATATATTCAAAACTTTGATTGACTACAACTTGGAATTTGTTGTTGAACTAATAGGAAAAATTGTAGGAGCTAATGAAAAAAACTCAAGATAATTTTGTGAAACAAAGCAGCTTTCGATGAATATTGTCGTTTTCAGGTCAAACACCAAGGTCAATATAAAATTATTTTTGGTATTATTTTTTAGTCACAGTGAATCTACCTTCGAAAAATAAAAGCTATAAAAGCAGCAACCGAAGATGGAGATTTTCAAAAGTAGGTCAAACTGGACAAGGTCAAGGAGTCAATATAAATAATACCCAAAGGAATTTCACAAAGAATACACATGTGAAATATAACAGAGTCAAAGAATCAGCCACTCAGAAGTCCTGACCGTCGTACCGTAGTTTTTTTAAAAGCCTTGGGTCCTAGTATAAGGATAAAAAATTTTGGTATATTCAAGAGATGCTTTTACCACAAGAAATAAACCGGTAAAATAGTAAACCATAAGCACTAATTATTCAGGAGATAAGGTCAAAGTTAAGTTTTTGAAAAGTAGGTCAAATCCATAAGTTTAATGTCAAAGGTCATTGCATTGCGGCTGATACTCAATGGTATGTTTTGTCAAAAAAATAATAATAATCATGAGGAGGATATCGCTTAACTTATCCGTTTAATAGCTATGGCTAAGATTGAAATTTTGAAAATGTCTTTAAAAAGTCAATACTGCTAGTACATACGAGAAGGTGTCGACAAACATGAGCAATTATTATTTAACCCGGCATGCTCGGGGGGGGGGGGTGGTCGGGGGATCCCTTATTACACTTTAGAAAACGTTCATGGACTATCGCTATAAAATAAAAACCGCTTTAAGTACATAAATGAATTTTAAAATATTTAGTAAACATGATCTTTTTTATCTAAAGAATAAACCATTAATCCAAAATTTTATTTCATAATAAATGAGTAATGTTTGTGTAAGCAATGGTATGTCCAGGCGGCGCAACCTCGAATATGACGTTTAATGCGACCTATGTGTAACTAAAAAAAACTCTATTGATATGAACATTTTACATCCAAAATTCTCGTTAATTCAGGTATGTGTAGGGACATAATTATTCAACAAAATATAAAATTTTTACCTCATACTGGAAGTTCGTTGAAAATTTATCGTAAAATTTACATGGAATGTCCAAATAAATGAGGCCTTAGAAATGATGTCAAAAGAAGGGAGGGGTTTCTTTTTCTAACATTCTATCAAGTTTTGCCCCAGAAAAACTGGTGTAGGCCTGTTTAAACTGGCTACAGAGAAATAATATGCATCCAGAATACTTTTTTTATAATGTTAAAATAAATTCAGAGAGGAAAGGGATACACAGTTACATGTAATGTCCATCTGTACTCAAGGTGTGAAAAATCAATCGCGTCAAAAAAGGACATTGATGTGTTGTAGATATTAACCTTCCAAAAGCAAAGTATACCGGTGTAAAGACGAATAATGACCCCCATCGAATAATGACCGGGGGTCATTTTTCAACGACAAAAAATGACCCCCACCCGTAGAAAAAAAACATTTTTTGTAGAAAAAGGGCCTTAGGGGGTCATTATTTTATTTGTTAGTCCTATAAAATAATGACCCCCATTGAAAAATGACCCCCTTTAAAGTGATATAAAATATGCACTCTTTGATATCTTTTTTACAGCGAAACAACAATTTTTACATTTTCTGTAACCAGAAAAAAACAAAAAGTCGTATGAAATAATAAGGAGATTCACGTAGTCAATCAATGCTAAATTTGTGTTTGAAAAGAGATTCTTAAATTGTCAAGTGAATAAAATTTCTTTTTAATATTACTCCTTATAATGTTTGCTTAAAGAATGATATTCCACTTTTTTTTTAGAAATCAAACCATGCAAAAATCATGTTTAAATACTTTTTAATATGAAAAATTAAATTTTCCGTCATTTCAACTCTAAGATTGTTTAAGTCTGGCAAATCTTATTTGACAATGAAAGAGGAAGAATTTTTTATCCCCCCCCAAAAAAAGAACATTAAACGTTAAATAAACACAAAAAGAAAATAATAAATGAAAAGCAAAAATATAAATAAAACTCTATACCTTTCAATAATTCTAAAGAGGCTCTAGATAAAATATTGAAATGAAGTTAAGCCTTCACACAAGTACTACAATATCATAATTTACTTCGCAATGATTAAAGCATTACTTTAAATGTTGGTGGAGGTATACATGAAAGTATTGTGGCAAAGTAACAGTTAAAAATTAATAGAATAGTAGATTATCTTTATAGTAGATTATCTTTAATTCCTTCTTTTAGAAAAATAAAAATAGAGTGGTTATTATTTTTTTTTGCTTTTGTTCACTATCGACTTCCTCCTCAATCAGAAAGGGGTTGGGGTAAGTATAAGACCTAAAAATATGCTCTGTAAAGCTATGGGCCAGTGTAAAATACACAGTCATTCTAATGCAAAAACTATACATGTAGACATAAACTTTTGATTAAGCACACATTATTCATTACATTTCTTTTAACGTACAACCTACTTCGTATGGCATCATAATTTGTAAATGTGTTAAACCTGTGCTAACCCATTTAGACGTCATAATTAATTCAATGCCACTTTTTCCCGTACTTGACAGCTTCAATAAAAATGGTAGAAAATACTGCATTTTGAAATTCACAGAATTCAGTCATTCAATTTCTTATAAAAATTTAATCTGAAAGTAACCCCCAAAACAGTCATTTAATTATTAAATCCCATGTAAGTGCAAAAAAGGTCAAGAATATGAGTATGGGTAAATATCATATAGTTCATTAGTTAGAGGGGAAAGATATATAGTTTAATTATTTTTTGTAATCATTTGGCTATGTTCTTTATCATATTGAAGATTGAAAACATTGTGACAAAGACGTCTCAAAAATATTTACAAATATAGGGTGAATAATTGACTAGAAATAATAGAGTTCATTTGACTATTTTTTTAATGGTAGGTCTTTTATATTAATTGAATAAAAAACAAATCATTCTTGATAAAATATTGTTTAATATTATTCAGTTAAAAAAGTTTATAAACGACGATGTTTGAAGAAGTTTTTTTTGTGATTTTTAAAATTCTCTTTATGACAAGTACTCCTAAAATATTTGAAAATGTGAATTCGCAGTATGTAAATACCAAACCAAGTTTCACAGCCTGTTCTAGATTGAAAAACAAGGAAAATATCATGATATCGAAACTGATTGATAAGAAAGTTGAAAAGTTTGAAAAACTTGTGACAAAGACTTTTCCGACATAGGTTCTACCTTAATTCTTGTTTTACTCCACCCTTTTACTCAGTTCTGAGTATATTTTTCAGATAATTAAATATGAAAATCGGAACAAACATTTTCATTGTTGTAACGTCTTTTTTATAATGTATATTAATATGAAAAATTAATTGAAGACCATTTCTTTTTATATCCCCGTAATCGAAGAATCGGGGATATATAGTTTTATTGTATTTGTCTGTATGTCCGTGTGTCTATCTGGCGGTTTGTTTGTCCGCAAAAATCTTAACCTTTACCATAAATTTTCATTTATTGGAGCTATGACTTTCATATTAAATATGTATATGCCTTGTGACCTTACTTTGGGTACACCAAATTTGACCTTTTGACCTTTACCTTGGAGTTTGTCCCATTTTACACAAAAATGCAAAATTTTTACTTTGGCCATAATTTTTAAACGGTAGATACTAGTACTCTCATACTTCAGATATGTAGTTTTTTGGCATTACCTTTCATTGGATACTAAAAACCTTGACCTTTTGACCTTGACTTTGGAGTTTTCCGTACTTATGATTTTTTTTTTACCTTGGCCATAACATCTGAACGGTAAGGGCTAGAGTATTCATACTTCACATATGTAATCCCTGTTACATTGAACATTTTCTTAAGAAATCATCAACTTTGACCTTTGAGTTTGACCTAACTTTCAAAAAACTTATCCTTAGCCATTACTTTTGAACAAATGGTGCTGGGGCTTTCCTATTTTGCAGTTGCATTTCTTGTGAGAAGACCCTACTTTGGGTAACAATATTTATTGCATTTAAGAAAAGTTTAATCTTCACTCTGTTGCCATACAGGGGCATAGCTGTTTCACAAGAGAAGGATATAATAATATATAATACTGCTGATTTTTTCTGTCAGTTCGATGATTTCCACCATCAAAAAACAATGTTTACCTAACCCTTAAGGCTTGATAAATCTTTTACTCCTTTAGATTCTGAATCATTGCAATTACCTTAGAATATAGCTATAATTGTATAATGTTATGAGACAACATATCATC